CTGTGATGTATTCTCACCGTTTTATGGAACAGGAAACTTTGAGACTAGGACTGCACAGCTGGTAGCAGACAGATGTGGGTCTCGAACCTGGGTCTTCCTGACTGCAGAGCCGCCTCCTTGGCTGCCGTATGTTTGTTAAAACTCCTGACCCAGTGCCTGGGGCGCACGCTGCCGAGTGTCGCTTGCGTCTCTTTTAAGCGCACTCGAGCGCGCCTTAACAAGGCCTCCTCAGTGACCCAGCCCCCCTTCCCCAGGGCCTTTTCTGTGCCGCTGCTCGAGTGTCCCTGGCACCTGCGAGTCTTCACGGAGTTATGTTTCTTCCGCTCATCGAAATGTTGAGCTCCCATTCATGCAGCATCTCGCACCACGCAACCGCATACCCTCGCCAAGGCTGGCAGTGCCCCACACACGGATGGAGCACGGATGGCAGAGTCATGGTGATGGGACAGGTGACAGGAGGGGAGCAAGACAAGGCAACCTACACATGGCCCAGGGAGGGCAGAGGGAGGCTAGGAAGGTGCTGGCCTAGAGCCTGGAAGCCTCTGGGGTTCCCTCCCTCTCCGCAATCAAAGGTAGCATTGATGAACCTTGGGGGGCAGCTGGCTGCAGAAATGAGATCTTCACTGAAGGGGTCCAAAAAAAAAAAAAAACCGATGACTTCCCAGTATTGTCATCCACTGGGATGGGGGAGGTAGGAGGAGCAGGCTTGTGTGGAAATGTGCGTTTGGTTTTGGAAATGCTGAGCTTTAAAAGTGAGACCCCAACAACATGTTTCTGTCGGCATTTGTAGAAAAGAAAGAAGAATCTTTGCCCCCTCTAGAAATGCTCCAAGCAGCAGGAGGCAGGGAGTTTGGGTCCCATGCAGGCCTGGGCCGGGCTTCCTCAGCCAAGACCCCACCTCCGCCCGGAGCCTTCCAAACTCACCTTCAGCCTACTCTGCCCCAGCATTGAGCCCAGAAACCAGGAATTCAGGAAAGTCCAAGGGACCTGCCATGTTGGGGTGGTGTTTTATCCATGATACAGGTGCCCGAGTTGAAGGGGCTCTTCTCCCCCTCCATGGTCCCCCTGCTCCCTGCCTCCCGCTCCAGTCGATCCAGCTGCCTACTACACCTGCAGCACTTAAGTTTTCCAGTCTGCCATGTAAATCACCTTGAGAGGTTAAATACCTAAGAATGTGTGTTGGAGTGCAGCAAATAGTACCTTAAGCATTCTTCAATTCACACTGATTATCCAAACCGCTATAAGAGGCATTCCTATTTACACAGTCACAATTGATACGTCAATTTAAAGTAATTTTTATCTTTTCATTCTAGCAGATTCCCTGAAGCCCATTATTAGGCAACATTTGATTAACCCACTTTGATTCAGCGTAGGTACTTCCCCTAAAGAAAGAATTTAAGCTAATTTCCCTAAAGAACTCGACTCATTATTTATTAATTGGAGTCCTATCTGTAATCCTATTGTGAAGATTAAGCATTTGTTAATTTAAGAAAGTCCCCGTGCTTTGATGATAGCTGTTTCTTCTGTGAAAATAGTGAGCGAGGGTGGGCTTCTGCTTGCCTCACGCCTGTGGAATTCCAGCAAATTGTTTCTCCCTTAAGGATTTAAAGACTGAGAAAGTCAGTAGACCTGCAGTCCCCAACCCCTGGCCGTGGCCCATTGCCGGTCCATGGACGGCTAGGAAAAGGGCCACGCATGACCCCCTGAGCTCTGCACCACACACTCCCAAACCCAGTCCGTGGAAGAATTGTCTTCTGTGATACCGGTCCCTGGTGCCAAAATCGTTGGGGACTGCTGAAGTAGACAATGACTACACCCACCCGTGGTAGGGATCCACAGGCGTGAATGGCAGCTACTACTGTCTCCAGTAGCTATTGCAGAGGACTGTTCATTCTTCCCAGAGTGTGAACACAAGCCTCGGTTTCTAATGGGCGGGATGACTGAAGCGGCGTGGACAATACATCCAGCAACCCCTGAGCCTGTCGGCTCCTTAGCGGAGTTGAGTGCCTTTCCCGGCCAGTCTGAGCCCCCAGTAAGAAAGGGGGCAAGGGACAGGCAGGCCACACAGCTGAAGGCTGCCCAAGGAGCTCGGGAGGGGCCGGGGCAGAGGAAATGAACCTGGGGGAAGGGGATCCCCTGAGTGTGGTTAGTATTCTGGTGGGTAACAAGGGAGTGGATGAGGGTTCTAGAGCCCAGGCGTTACTTCTGGCCTTGTTGCCATCATTCCCAAGAGCAGTGGCTCGGGGCTCAGAGCCGTGGGAATAACCGAGATCCTCCTCTCTAGCCCCTCCACCAGGAAAAGAAGGCAAACTCGATGACACAAACTTGAAAAGAGGAAAATCCCACAAATGGGAGTTAATTTGCAATTCCCAGTAAGCCTAGCCCTGGCCAGTGGTTTGGGAGGAAACCGTCTCTTCTGCACCCTACCCGGGTTCTGCCGGCCTCCTAGGAGGCTCCCTTCTTATCCTTGTCCTTAGGCAGAGTTTCTGGAGAAACTCAGGGGTACAGCGTCGAACCCCCTCTCCAGGAATAAGGTCAGGAGGGCAAGGGTCGCTGAGGTGTCCCAGCTGAGCCCAGAGCACGTGCAGGACGGTCACCAGAGCCTCTTCAGCAACACTGGGGTGAGTCTGTAGTCAGGGGCCCCCCCAAAATTGAACGGGGCTGGAAGGTACCGTGCTGTGAATCCCCGGACTTCTGACATCATTCCGAGACTCGTAATTTGCAATAAATCAGACGAACTTGGGCCGAAGCAGTTGGAATTAATAAAGTTTCTAGTAGATGTTCACGGTCCATTCAAATTCTATTAGAGTTCCTGCTAACTCCTCAGTTAGTCCTTATGTAATCTCTACCGAAATCTTTGTTCTCCCTTCCCCACCCACCTTCTCCCCTCAGGAAGCCAGTCTTTGAATTTCAAACAGCGTCACAAATGATGAGAACCCCAGCTTCTCTTGGAACCCTCTGACTGTTCTTTGAGGACCCCTCTGTGCCCCGCCCCGCAGATGCCCTTCCTGCTCTGAGCTGCAGGCAGGGAGCAGGTCCCCTCTGCCCAGAGGACTGGAAGGGGGCAAGGAAGCGACAGTGTCTGCCCGCACTGCCTCTGGTTTAATTGCCTTGCACTTCTCTACGGGCTCCTGGTAACGTGGCCCCGGGGGAGAGGCAGGGATTAGGGAGGGGAAACCGCAGATTCCAGATCTGCTTGTGCTGTGTGCTGAGCACGCGGGGGCTGTGAATATGCTCGATTGATTGGAAGCCAGGGGACCTATCTGCATATGAGATTGAGCACGGTGGCCAGGGAGCCATGTCTGTGACTTAGAGGGCACCGGGGCTCTTGGCAGGTTTTCCTCTCTGTCCCACAAGGATTTCTGTGGCATCTGGTCCTCGCCCAGCCTACGGACCAGACCCGCCCGGTTTCCCCCGCAGTGGTACAAAGAGCCTGGGTGCCCCGTGCCTAGCGCCCACCAGCAAGATGGTTTGCACACCCACTCCAAGCCCTGCCTCTGGGATGCATCTGGACTGCTGAGTGGGGAGGGGAAAAGTCGGCCACGCCTCTCCTTCTACTCATCACGACGACGGGCACGCTTCTAGCAACCAGTCTTTATTTGTTTTTTAAAAAAGGAAATCCAAATAAGTTAGCAAAAAAAAAAAAAAATACAAAACAATGGCAAAACCACACAATGCTTAGTTAACAAAAGAAATCACCCCAAGAACCCCCACCCCCTCTTCCCTGCCTGTCCCCAGCAACTTCAGCACAGAAGACCTTGGTCAGATGGCAGCTTTACAAACAACACACAAAACAAAACAGAACATAAAACCACTGGAAGGTTCCCAATATTCACTGCAAAAGCTTGGCCCCCCAGGGACTGGGGAACAGAGGACTGTTCCTCTCCTTTCTTCTCTCTCCACCGAGGGCAGGCCCAGCCCAGCCACTGGCATGGGGAGAGACCAGACAGGAGACAGGCACAGCTGGTCCAGGGCAGAACACTGTCTTTGCCTCTCAAACTGTTTCCCTTGGGGGGTGGAATTACAGGGTGCATTATGATAAAAGGAAGCTCCTGAGTTTGCCCCCTGAGCCGGGGGCATACACGAGGGGGCGCTCTGGTCCCCTGCTTTACCTCCCTGGAAAGGGGGTGCCCTCTGCTCTAAAGAGTCAGCTACATGAGGGCACCCGTCCCTTGCTGGGCGGTGGGTTAACCTTACACGGACGAGGACGGGGATAGTCTGGCTGATGGCAGCCCACGGCTGGCCACCCAGCGGCAGGGCAGCCTGGCTCCGGAGGCCCCTGCTGTGGAGGTGGTGGCATCTGTGGCCAGCTTGGGGGGCTTGCGCAGACACCCAGGCTGGCGGACGATCTCAGTTGGGCATGGTTTCGTCTGGGAAGGCCACGGCCACATCCTCCACTGTGATGCTGTCCACGATGGAGGTGAGGGAGTGCAGGTTGTGGGCGTCTGTAGGGTCAGCTGCGAGCAGGTGCTCTGCAAGCAGAAGGCGGGAGGGGGTTACCTGCGTGAGCAAGGGCGTCTGGAGGCCCAGAATGGGGGATGAGGCCCATGGGGTGACACAGGGTTTTCAGGATAGATGGGTGAACCAAACAGGAACCCTGCCTTTCTCAGTGCCGTGTGTGTGCGTGTGTGTGCGTGTGTGTGTGTGCGCGTGCCTCTTCTGAACTCGCCTAGCAGGGCTGGGATTTGGAAAAGGCTACTCCAAGTGGAGCCAGGATGGTGTGTCTTCAGAGGCTGGAGCTGCCCTTTGCTGGGCCAGTTTCGCAGCACTGACTCAGCAATTCCCAGGGACCCCTGGGGCAGGGACACTCTCCTCTCTGCGAGAAGGTCAACCACCAGGCACCAACCGGGAGCCGCAGGAGGCTGCTGTCACTCCTTGGCGGGTCAAGGTTGCAGGGAGGCCCAGGGCCTCCTAGCCCACCGCGTGGGGCCCTGGAGCCAGGAAGTCCCTGGAGAGGCGAAGGGAAGAGGACTGGAGGCAGGAGTCAGGTAAGAGGGAGAGCGGGGCCTGGGGAGGGACCAAGAGACTTGAGCCAAGGTTTCCTGGGCCAGGCCCCACTTACCCGCTGGGCTGGGGCCGAACTCCAGTGCGCTGCCCCACTCCGGACTGCAGGAGGCGCTGTGGGAGCTGCACTCGCTGGGCACCTGCAAGACAGGGTGAGGCCCAAGGTCAGTCTCTGCCTGGTCTCAGGGCAGAAGCACCTGTGCTGGGGCTGGAGGGTGGCCTCAGGACGTAGCCCTCCAGCCCAGGCCATCTGAAACCTCCGAATCTTCACAACCGGAGACCCTTCCTCCAGGCCTCCCTGGCTTCTGTCCCGGGTGGTGGTTCTGCCCTCCCAGGACAGCAGCTTACAGGGGTCTTCCTGACCCTGGGGATGAGGGTCACGGAGGCGTAACGTCTGGCCCAGTGTGGGTCAGTCCTGCGCAGGCCTGCTGGGGACCCATGAGGCTGAGGGGGTTTCTCTCTGCTCAGCCACACCCAGGATGGGGTAGGGTGGGGACCGCGGTCTTCTCTGGCGGACTTGGCCTGGCCTCCTGGGCTCTGACTCAAGCGCTGGGTTAAACCTTCCCCCACCCGGGCTGACTGTGGACTGGCCCCTGGAGCCCCTCCTCGGTCCTGTGCCACCCGGCCACCCGCCTCGCCTGCCTTCCTCTTGTCCGGAAAGAACATGGGACGCAGGACGGCGCAGCCCTGGCAAAGGAGGGGGTCCTGCAGCCCCCTGGGCCCCTGCCTGGCACCTGCGTCACCCCGCCGACCGGGCCCCTCCGTGGGGACTGGAGGCCGCCCAGGTGTCTCCCGGGGCAGGGCAGTAGGGAGGCCACTTACCCCCGGCTGGGGCCCGCCCCCGCCCCGGTAGCGGAGGTCGCGCTCCTCCTGGTTGAGCGAGCTGAGCAGGGCCTGCAGGCGCTCGATGTACTGGATGGCGCTGCGCAGGATCTCCACCTTGGGCAGCCGCTGGTTGGGGTTGAGCAAGGTGCTCCTCTTGAGCGCCTCGAAGGCCTCGTTCACCTTCTTGAGCCGGCGCTTCTCCCGCAGCGTGGCCGCGCGCCGCCGGTCCACCGACACCGACTTCCTCTTGCACACCTTGCACGCCCACGGCAGGCACTGGCCCGGACAGTGCTCGGGGGTCCCCAGCCCCTTGTCCTCCAGGGGCCCTCGGGCCTCGGGGCTCAGGCCGAGCTCAGTCCGCTCGTAGCCCGGCGGCTCGAAGCCCTGGAGGTGGGCGGGCAGGTAGTTTTCCCCGTCGTAGAAGCGGGGCTCCTGGTAGAAGTAGGGGGGTGTCTCGTACAGCTCCATGGGGTCGGAAAAGACTTGTTCCTGCCACCGGCCCCCAAGCTCCTGCGGCCCCTCACGCCAACTGCTGGGTGCCATTTAAACCCTCCCCGCTGGCATGGAACCAGAGATAAATATAGCCAACGCCACGGAAACCTGAGCCCCCCTCTAAGCTGTTGCTGCACATCAAGACGTTTCGAGTGGATTAGATGCGATTCCCCTTCCCTCTCCCCCACGGCCCCCACCCCGCCCAGCCCGCCCCGGCCGGCCGGCTCCTGTGCACGGGTCGGGAGGCCGTCGGGTGTAATTTGATTAGTTTTCATTTCTCGGCAGCCCCCGTGGGGCAGGGGAGGTGGGGGAGAACACATTCCCCTCTCATCTGCTCCTTTCAATTACTCCTAGCCAGGCGGCCAACTGCGCTCAACTTGCTAGTCCCAGAGAAGGGGGGGCAGGGCGCAGGGAAGGGGCGGGCTCAGGCTGGACGGGGCCTTGCCAGCCCACTTACCCGTGTCCCCGCTTGCCGACAGCGCCTCAGCCACCCGTCCCAGTCAGAGGAGGCTCTTTCAAAGACCTCCCTCCCCCAAGAACGGGCCTGCTTCAATCTGGGGCATTCGTGGGTACTCAGCATCCAGGGCTAAGAGGGGCTGAGACTCAGGGCATGCCTGGATTCAACTTCCGAGTTTCCATAGCAACTCTGACTCGTGTGTTCTCTCGGGTCTCATGTAACAGGGGTAAACTGAGGCAAGAGAAATTTTGGGGGTTTTCGTTTTGGGGCAGGGGTCAGGCAAAGTTCTCTCTTTAACACAGCTGGTCGTGGTGGGAGGGTTAGAGCTCGTGGCCTGGACGTTGCCACCTTCCCCGCGGTGGCAGGGGCGAGCTGTATTAAGCCCTCTGTCTCGTCCCTCTCTCTCTCTCTCTCTCTCTAGGACCATTTATCTGTCCTTCCGTGTCATCTCCTCAGCTCTGTTTCCTGCCCCATTTGGACACCAGAATTTTCCCCGACTCCTTGCTGTGCATGGGGCGGGAGAGGAGACAGACAGAGACCTTCAAGTTCAGTGTCAATCTGCGCCCTCCTGGACCACCTGACTCGGCTGTTCCGCCGCTTCCTGTCTGAGCCGTGAGTTGTGCACACGGCACGCAGGTCTTGGACGTCAGGTGGAAAGGGACTGTTTGATCTCAGTCCACGGCCACCTCTCAGTTGGGGACTTGGGGTCTGTGAGGACCGATCCCGCTCAATGCGGCGTGCAGCCCCCAGACGCCAGCGGTGAACCAGGCTCGGTCTCAGGGCTGGGGCTTATAGGGACGCCCAAGCCAGGGTCCCTACCCTCGACCTTACCATCCAGTAGACCATCACGGTAACCTCGTTCTACCCAGCACCCTGTATCGACATCTCCTTCCCAAGTGGCCACTGTCCAGCTTTGCTGATCTCACAAGACAGTCGGTTCCATGACGTGCAGCTTCAGGAGTCCTTCTGGGCTTTGAGCTGCAATCTGCAACCTTTGGCCCCAGATTTTTCTGTATGTCCCCGTGGACTAAGTCTGATCTGTCCTGCTGTCCCTCCTCCTATAGCAGATGAAGCTGATAAATTCAAGCCGGTGGCAAGAACAGTAAGGGGAGAAGGAACCGTGCTGGGGACTTGGGGAAGACTCCACAGAGGGGACGAGTTCTGCTGCACAGTGTTTGAAGGGCCAGCTCTCCTTCCTATTAGCCACGGCGAGGAGCCAGGAAAATTGTGGTGACCTTTTGGGGTCGGGAACAGAGGTGAGGAGGGGACGTAGCTGGACAATAAAAGAACCCCAAGCATGTTGAGGGGGAACAGTGAGGTCTCACTTTGGTTCTTGGCCTTGCCAGCATGATGGGACATGGCAGCTTGGATGCTGTGGACCCTAAACCTTGCTTTTACCCCCAACCATCTGGCCTGAAGGACAGTCTCTATTTCTAACACATCCCCCTGCAAAAAAAAGAGAACAACAACAAGAAAACCCTGTGCCTCAGTTTACACTCCAATCCTATGAGCCCTGGGAAAAGGAGTGATGTTGAAGCTACTATAGAAACCCAGATATTGCATCTTTGTCCTTTCAGGATCCAGTCTGACTTACCCCTAAACAATATGTTTTCTTCCTCTAAAATGGAAGCAGAACTGGCTTGTTCTGTGGTGTTTCCAGAACCTTAGCACCGAGCTGGTGAGCACAGACTGGGCGTGAAAGCTACGTGGCAAGGCAGGGCAGAGCTGTGCTAATTCCACAGTGAGCGTGGAGTCTGTGATCAACTGCAAATGAGTGGGCTCCTCAAAAGACTGTTCCAGGAGTTTGCGAGATGGCAGAAGCCCTGTGGGATTCAGGCTTGGGGACGGGATCGCACCGGGCCTGGTCTCGGAGAGCAGGCGGGTTCTGGATGAGGAGGGGAGAGGCGGGCCTGGGGGCGTTGGGCAGGCCGGTTTGTACAGAGCTGGGGGTCAGGTAAGGGGGTGACAGGAGACAGGCCTGCAGAGATGGGAGTGGGGACGAACTTGGAAGCCGAGGCAGGGAGACCACAAAGAAGAGCGCGACGGTGATCCAGGAGTGAGACGACGAAGGTCTGAACAGCCCACTCAGAGGAGAGGCTGCCGGTCTCGGGCTGGCGGGGGGCGGCGTGTGTGCATGTGACAGGGGACCGGTGGCCGTACTGAATGAAAGTGCACTCGGCACATACAAACACCCAACACACGGCCGTCCCTCTCCTTGCTCTGTCTTCTCTTCTCGTGCAGCCGCTCCCGCCCCCCAGCCTCCCCCCAGCCTGTGCTCATCGCCTCCAGGGGACCACGCGGCAGGAATGGGGGAGAAGACCTGGCTCGGCCCCAGGTGTGCTTGTCCGTTCCTTCATCCTTTCAGTCAAGAAACGATCGAGCCCCTGTGCCAGGTGCTGGGGTCCCCAGCGTAAGACATGACCTCTTTGCCTTCAGCGTGCTCACCTCGAAAGGAGGAAGGTGAGCACGACAGTTGTCTAATCAAGGCGGGAGGTGCTAGGTGATAAGAGTAGGCTAGAAACAGTGCCGACATAACCCAGAGGAGGAATTTACTCATTCACTCCATCTGCTCAACACACACTCCCTGCCAGTCCCCCGGGGACCAGACCTGGGGCGGAGCAGTGAACGGCCCCAGCTCCTGTCTGCAAGAAGCCGCTGGGCGTGAGTCTGGCCTTGTGTCTGTGGCATGAGGGCAGGGCTGGGAGGTTAGGGTGACCTTGTGCGTCTGGGTTCCTACGAACCCCTGGCTGTAGATGTGGGTGTCTGAGTAAGGTGACTAGGGCACCATGTCAGGGTCCAGCTGTGGGACACAGACCCTCCCAGGACTGAGAAGACAGAGCGACCCAGGTGTCTTTTGGCCTCTCAAAATCCCGATGGCGGGGAACTGAGATGCGGAGAGGCCTCCTCCAGAGGCTTGGTCTTCCTCCGCCTGCACACGCCTCCGCCCCTGCAAGCTGCCCTCTGATGGATGGGAACACATTGGTGCCAGGCACAGAACGGCCTTTGTGCTCCGCCACCAGTGGCGATCCATCAGCTCCGACCTGACAGCAGGGCGTCCGGCCCTAATCCCCACCCCTGCTGGCTTGGGCACACGGGGGCCCCTGCCCAGACTGTAGCCTCCGCCTCTGGCAGCCCTGCTGCCCCCAGAGGAAGCCCTATCCTCCACGTGGGCTCCAGGCTCCCCGACCCTGACTGTCTCGACCTGATTCTGCCTATTTGCATGCTGGGCTGATGTCATTTGCATGGTAGCGTCTGGATTTCAAATGCTCAGAAATCCCCTTCACCTGCTCCCTGCTCCTTCCCTCCCCTGCTGCTGCACACCCAGTCACGGCTCCATGGTTTCCAGCATATTCCAGTCCCTGCTGACCTCCAAGGTGGGCTGATCTGAGCTGCCAGGTTGCTTGGCAAAAATCAAAGCAAGTTTTGTATCCTGAAGTCCCGTGTGCCTGGGAGTAGAGGAGCAAGAAGAAGAAGGGTCTGGAAGGGTGGGAGCCTCAGGCTTCTCCAAACAGGTCCCACCGTTTGTTTTCCTAGGCTGGGTCTCTGGGAATTATTGACGAGGACTAGGTGGGCGCTGGGTGGCAAATGCTTGTGCATTTCAACAGCACCTAGATGCACAAACGTGACCCTCAAATAGCATCAGTGATTTGCAGGCAGCAGCTTTGCAACAGGGCGAGAGCAGATCACAATATCAGGGAATGTCAGAGCTGCAACGCAGGCCAGGGCGGCTGGTCCACTGTCTCCCTTCTACCCGTGGGGAAACAGAGGCCCAGAGATGGGAAGCGACTTGCTCAAGGGTGCACAGAGGATGAATGTCAGAAGCGTGAAGGGTGTCAGCTCTTGGCTGTCTCTCGGGGCTGAATCCACGTGCCTCCTCTTCCTCCCTGAGGCCGGCAGGTGAGGAAGGGTGTAGCCAGTGAGTAGATGTTTTGCAGGTGGGGCGGGGCCACAGGTAGGGAGGCAGTGAGGAGGTCAAGAGCCATCAGGAGAAGTGGTGGCGGAGAGATGAAGGGAAGATGCAGGCGAGGTGTGAGAGACAGGGCCTGGAGGCGCTGGGGAGGCCTAAGGGATGGAGCCAGGAGGTTTGGAGGCCGAGGAGACCAGGGCTGAGAAGCGAGGAGCAGGGCGGGCCCCAGGCCTCCGCAGCCACACATTGTTTCCATAGAGGACGGGGCATCGGATAACCACTGGGAAATCCCGTCCCTGCCTGGAATCTGGAGCTCAGAGCCAGGATCATTCTTCAAGAATCTCTGGCTCTGGGGTGTGGGAAGGTGTGGGCTGGAGGTGGGGGTTGGGTTTGAGGAGAGTGAGTGGGGGTCAAGGAGAGGTGACTGGTGGAGACAAAATGCCCAGAGCAGGGCTCAGCTGAGTGTGCAGCAGGGCCAGCCTGGGCCCTGGTTCTGGGGGTGCCTTTGGAACTATGGAAGGCGGCGTTTCCCATGAGTGCCCCATGTTCCTGTGAGAACAGGGCCTTCAGCCCCCAGATAGGACAAGTACCGTCAGGAAGCTGCAGGGAAGTCGAGGAAGGGGCCCCGGGTAAGGGGTCAGGGCACATGGCTGACACGTCTCCTCTCTGGTTCTCGATGTCCCCATCTGTAGATCAAGACGCTGGACCGAATGTTCCCAACGGCCCCTTTTGTCCTGACTCAGCTGCGGTCTGGAGGAAGTGCTCGCAGGAGGACCGCGTTGAGGGCTGTTTGCACCAGGTCTAGTCCTGAAGGGTGGACTAACACCGTCAGTGAGGGCAGGTTTCCTGGAGACACTGTGTCCGTTCCCCAACTCTACTTGCACCCCCACACCCGACTTCAAGCCAGGCAGTTCTCCGGACCCATTGCAGCCTACCTGGAAGTGCCTGGCATGTATTTGTCATACTCACCTCCGGACTCAGCCCCTACCTGTCCCTCGTCCCTGCTACACCTCCCCCTCCCCCGCCCTCTCTGTGGGTTCAAAAGCCCTAGCATGCCACCCCCCTTCCATTCACGGGGCTGCTGCTATTTCTGCCTCTTTGACAAGTTGTGACATATTTGGGAGCAGCTGCTGCCTGGGTGGAGATGCCTTTGCTGCCCTCCCTCTCTGTTCTCTCCTCCCCAACCCCTTTCCCAGCAGCCACCCCTTCCCAGAATGTGCCCCAAGACCCTCCCTGCATTCCCTTCCTGGGCTCAGACACCCGCTTTCCCTAGGTTTCTGCAGGGTGGCCGAGGCTCGAGTCTGGTAGCCATGGCTGGGGGTGGGATCTCTTCTGCCACATCCCAACCTGTGTGGTTTGACGCAAGTCTCTTCCTCCTGTGGGTTTCGGTTTTCAATCTTTAAAATGGGGGTGATAGATAACGTCTCCCCGACCAACCATGAGTGACTGACCTCCTAATAACTGTAGAGACCTGGGGGCTCTTCCAGTGCTATTTATATCATGACTCTGACATCCTCTGGGGACTTTATTCCATTGTCCCTGCCCACTGACGTTTTCTATGAGCCCATAGACGCGTTGAAGTCTCTCCCATCAAAAAAATCCCTCCCTTTTTTATATAACCCCCTCAGCTATGGCTCTGTCGCTAACCTTCCCTTCTTCACCTAATTTCTAGAAGGAGGAGTTTACACTTACTCTTTCCACTTCCTTACTTCCCCTTCACTTGTCCACTTCATTGTTTTCACTGTCCCTGGGTCACTAAAACTGGTCCTTCCACGATCACCAGAGACCCCTCCCCTGGTGCCAACTCCAGGAGATATTTCTCAGTTTTAATCTTACTTGACTGGTCTGTGTCATCTGGCAATGTTGACAATGCCCTTCTCTTTTTTTTTTCTTTGAGACAGAGGCTCGATCTGTAGCCTGGGCTAGAGTGCTATGGCATCAGCCTAGCTCACAGCAACCTCAAACTCCTGGGCTCAGGCGATCCTCCTGCCTCAGCCTCCTGAGTAGCTAGCATGCACCACCATGCCCGGATAATTTTTTTTTTCTATATATATTTTTAGTTGTCCAGCTAATTTCTTTCTATTTTTTTAGTAGAGACGGGATCTCGCTCTTGCTCAGGCTGGTCTTGAACCCCGGAGCTCAAACGATACGCCCACCTCGGCCTCCCAGAGTGCTAGGATTACAGACGTGAGCCACCGCGTCCGGCCCACAAAGCCCTTCTTGAAACTCTCGGCTCTTTTTAGCTCCCATGTCCCCTCCATCTCCTGATTTTTCTCACTATTTCTCCTCCTCTCTCCTTTCTTCCCTCTCCCCTCTCTTCTTCTTTTGCTTCATGTGTTCCCTCTGCCCACCCTTTAAGATAAATCTCTTGATTTTTAATTTTTAGTCCTCTTTTCTACAATCTCCCTTTGTAATATCATTCTTTCACCTAGGTTTAAATACCATGAATGAAAATGCTTGGCAAATGTTAGCTGCTCTTAACCGTTAGGTATTGATTACACCTGTGTCTCTACGCCAGCCTTTATCTCTTCTCTGAGCTGCGGTCACACACCCAAGGTTCCAGTAGGCATCTCCACTTAAGTGTCTTGCAGATTCTTAAAATTAAATATATCTGGTATGAAATACATTCACTCTCTCCCTGATTCCAGTATTTCTCTTATTGGTGACTGATGCTACCATCCACCCAGTAATGTCTCACCATTTCTTATCCCTCCACATCCAATCATTCAACAAGTCCCACAATCCCTGCTTTCTTCTTCATCTCAATGATTCCAAGACTCACATGGGGCTGGGAATCTTTTCAGTTCCACTAACCAAAGTGAAAGTCTCATTGGTGATATGGGACATTTAACAGATCACAAAAGGGTCATACCTTAGTAATACAGTAAAGCTACTCTAGATCTGCCTTCTAAAGTTTAAAAACAAGCCTTAAAAGCATCAAATTAATGTGCCTGCATGCCCCAAAATTCCAATACTTTTTAAAGGGATTATAATAAAATGTAACACTAAGTTATTTATAATCACAGTGTCAGTCATCCAATCAAAAATTGGTAGACAGCAAAGAAGCTGGCAAAAATATGACCCATGATCAGGGAAAAAAATAAATTCATTGAAATATAGAAATATCCCCTAAAATGATAGGGATAATAGAATTAGCAGATAGGACTGTTAAAATAGCCATTATAAATATGAGAAATATGCTCAAGGATTTAAATAAAAACATGAACACAATTAAGAGAGAATTGCAAGATATAGAAAGGAATCAAAATTTCACTAGATTATGTATATATGTATATAGTATGCATTAGACTGCTTGGGCTGCCATAAGAAAATACCAGAGTCTCGGTGGCTTAAGCAATAGACATTTATTTTCTCACAGTTCTGGAGGCTGGAAGTGTGAGCTCAGGGTACCAGCATGGTCAGATTCTGTTGAGGGCTGTCTTCTGGCTTGCAGATGTACATTTTCATGCTTACATGGCCTTTCCTTGGTGTATGGATGGATAGGGTAGGGGGAGAGAGAGATAATTATCAAGGTATTAAGGTCTACGATATCTCTTCTTATAAGGGCACTGATCCCATCAGACCAGGACCCCTCCCTCATGACCTAATTACCTTCCTAAGGCCCCATCGCCAAATACCATCACATTGGGGGTTAGGATTTCAACACATGAATTTGAAGGGGACACAAATAGTCAATAACAGATTAATAGCATACTAGACATTGCAGGAAAAAAGTTCCTTGAATCTGAATATAAAGCAATAGAAGCCATCCAAAATGAAACACAGAGAAGAAAATACCAAAAAAAAAAAAAAAAAAAAAAAACAAAAAAAAACAAACCAAAGAGCTTTGGTGATCTATGAGATAATACCATATCAAATGGGCTAACATATATATAATTCAAGTCCCAGAAAGTGGCAGAAAAATATTAGAAGAAATAATAATGGCTATAAATTTTCCAAATTTAATAAAAACTATAAACTTACAGATCTAAATTATTCCATAAACTCCCAAAAGTATAAACACAAAGAAAATCACACCAAGACACATCACAATCATAATCAAATTGCTGAAAACCAGTGATAAACATAAAATTTTAAAAGCAACCAGAGCAAAAGAGAGGCATATTATGTATAGAGGAACAAAGATAAGAAAACTGCTTATTTCTCATCAGATACTATGAAGTCCAGAAGACAATAGAACATTTTTTTAAATTCTGGATAAAAAGAGAAGCTTTCAATGAAGAATTCTATATACAATGAAGACATATTTCAAGAAGGAAGGTGAAATAAAGACTTTTTCAGACAAAGAGATGCTGGAGGAATTCATCAGTAGCAGATCTTCATTATAAGAAATGTTAAAGGAAATTTTTTAGGCAGGAGGAAAATGATATAAGATGGGAACTTAGATGTGCATAAGGAAATGACAGCCACCAGAAGTGGTAAACATGCAGGGAGACATAAAAATACTGTTCTCCCTCACTTTAAAATTTCTTTCAAGGGGAGTTGCCTATTTAAAGCAAAAACAATGTGTTGTGGGGTTTATAACATAGATAGAAATAAAATGTATGACAGTAGGATGAAGAATGAGAGGAAGAAAACAGAAGGATACTGTTGTAAGTTTCTCACATTATATGTGAAGTAGTATAATGTTATTTGAGGGTAGACTGTGGCAAGTTAAAGATGCATGCTGTTAGCACTAGAGGAACAACTGAAAAGTAAAACATAGAGGTATAGCTAATAAGCCAATATTGGAGATAAATTGGAATATTTTAAAATGCTCAGTTAATCTAGAAGAAGACAGGAAAAGAAGCAAAAAAAGATCAAAAAGAAGATGGGACAAATTGACAGCAATTAGCAAGGTGGTAGATTTAAAGCTAACCATATCTATAACTGCATCAAATATAAATAGGCTGAATTTAAAGACCAAGATCCACCTGTAGGCTGTTTACAAGAAGCTAACTTTACACATAAAGACATAGATAGTTGAAAGTAAAAGGATAGAAAAAATATATGCCATACCAATACTAATCATAAACCTGGAGTAGCTATAATAATATCAGAAACAGTAGATTTCAGAATAAGGAATATTGCCAGGGAAAAAGAGGCATGTTACATGATGATAAATGGGTCTATTTATCAATAAGACATATTAGCCTGACATCTATATGCAGGTGTAGGTCTAAAAACAGACCTTCAAAATCCACGAGGCAAAAAATGACAAAAGTGAAAGGAGAAATAGACAAATCCAAAATTTAGTTAGAGATTTCAATACTCCTCTTGTAAATCATAGAACAAGTAGATGAATCCATGGGAAACAGAAGACTTCAACTCAATCAATTTTAACAACTGACGTTTGTAGGATAGTACACCCCACAATAACAGAATACTCATTTTTTTTCAGGAGCACATGGAACATACACCAAGGCTGGACTATAAAAAAGTCTCAGTACATTTAAAAGTATTGACCATAAACAGCATGATCTTTATGCTCTTTAATCTCACTCTTACCACAGTGCAATTAAATTAGAAATCAGTAACAGAAATTTCTGGAAAATCCCCAAATATTCGGAAATTAAACTTCTATACAACCCATAGGTCACTACTTATTGAGTTAAATGGAAATAGGGCTCTGGGCTAAGTGCTACATCAACTGTGTCTCCTTTAATCCTCACAATAATGCCATAAGGTCATCATGATTATCACTGTCTTGCTGATGAGTGCCTGGAGCTCAGAGAAGCAGCTGGTAGGTTGTAAAACTAGGAGCAGAACTCAGATCTGTCTCATCTGTTCATGATCAGTATGTTATTCTACAGTCAACTAGCTGGAGCACTCAAGTCGGGTCCCCACAGTGCGCTATGACGAGGTGTGTGTGAGGGAGTGTGCTGTTACCGTGCTTCTTGCCTCCTCCCCAGCTCCTCACCTGCGCTCTCACCCCAGGCTTGCTGCTCAAGAGCCTTCCCTGTGGAAAGTCTCCCACTGGATGTTCCTTTGTGTTCTTCCCCCTATCCACGTATCTCTGCTGTGAGGCTCCTCTGTCCCCAGCGAGCTGTCTCCTTGGCAGGCTCACTGGCTTTTCTTAGGTGCTCAATCCGAACCCCTCACGAGCCCTCCTGGCTTCTTCCTCTAAGGATCTCACCCCCACTGCCCTGACTTCTGCCCCCTGGTCCCCCACCACAGGCCTGCTTTCTGACACAGGGCTGTCTGGACCCTTATCCCTGGACCTTGAGCTCCATGCAAGACCCTAGACACTGTGCTGCTAAGACAGCCTTCTCAGACCAAACTGCTGCTGGTCACCTGGAGTCCACCAGTAGCCGGAATAGCCCTAGACTGTCCAGCACTGCCACATGTTCTGCTTTATCTTTATATTTTATTTGACAGATCCTTGAAACAGACCGCCTGGATTTTAAATCCTGGAATCATCAGTTTCTAGCTTTGTGATCTTATGTAAGTGATTTTGCCTCTCTGTTCCTCTGTCTTAGTCCGTTTTATGCTGCTATAACAGAATAACACAGACTGGGTGATTTACAATGAACAGAAATGTGTTTGGCTCATGGTTCTGGGGGCTGGGAAGTCCAAGAACATGGCACTGGCATCTTGTGAGGGCCTTTGCGCTGTATCATCTCATGATGGAAGGTGGAAGGGCAAGAGAGGGTGACAGCGAGAGCAAGAGGGGTCCGAACTCACTTTGACAGCAACCCTCTCTCGCGGTAACTAGCCCACTCCCACATAACGACACTAATCCATTCCTGAGGCAGAGCCCTCGTGACCTAATCACCTTTTATGAGGCCCCACCTGCCAACACTGTTGCATTGTGGATCAAGTTTCCAACACATTAACTTTGGGGGATGCATTCAGACCATGACGTCCT